AAATTATAACAAGGCGACTTCATTAAGTGACCATGCCGTGTTTTAAAACACAGATAAATCCGTAAAAAATTTAGAATTTTCAGGGAAGCTGTTATATTGCACCAGAGACCATATAATAGATTGCACCTCTACAGGAATTGCTCCTCTTGATCCTCTTGAAAGCACTTTGTCATCATTTTCTCTTAAATATGTGCAAAAAAAAGCTCCCGGTACTGCTTGTCATGTTAGTGTTATTCGCACTAGGATTCCTTTATCAGTTTGTTTCGATTTTTTGTTAGGCCGAGCATAAACACCAGCTGGTTAATGTAATCAAAAACGCGTGCTGCGATGCGCCACCCCTGTTGGCAGCAAGTGTTATGCAATACCCCCCACCCCCCTTCTCCCACACAAACACACACTGACATCGCCAACTATCGGTTTCAGGATAAGGCGGGCTTGTTTGTTATTCGTGAGAAATGTAGTTAACGTCAAACACAAAATGTCCGCATGTCAATCCTTGTACAGTGTAGCACTATTTTATCACTATGGCGCTCCTTCAACTGTGTGTGCTCCTTGATAAGTACGCGCTCCTTTAACAATGTGTGCTCCTTGATCAGTATAACGCTCCTTTAACAATGTGTGCTCCTTGATCAGTATGGCGCTCCAATAACAATGTGTGCCCCTTGATCAGTATGGCGCTCCTTTAACAATATTGGCTCCTTGATCAGTATGACGCCCCTTTAACAATGTGTGCTCCTTGATCAGTATGGCGCTCCTTTAACAATGTGTGCTTCTTGATCAGTATGGCGCTTCTTTAAAAATGTGTGCTCCTTGACCAGTATGGCGCTCCTTTAACAATGTGTGCTCGTTGACCAGTATGGCGCTCCTTGATCAGAATGGCGCTCTTTTAACAATATGTGCTCCTTGATCAGTATGACGCTCCTTTAACAATATGTGCTCCTTGATCAGTATGGCGCTCCTTTAACAATGTGTGCTCCTTGATCAGTATGGTGTTCCTTTAACAATGTGTGCTCCTTGATCAGTATGGTGCTCCTTTAACAATGTGTGCTCCTTGATCAGTATGGTGCTCCTTTAACAATGTGTGCTCCTTGATCAGTATGGCGCTCCTTTAACAATATGTGCTCCTTGATCAGTTTGGCACTCCTTTAACAATGTGTGCTCCTTGATCAGTATGGCGCTCCTTTAACAATGTGTGCTCCTTGATCAGTATGGCGCTCCTTGATCAGTATGGCGCTCCTTTATCAATGTGTGCTCCTTGGTCAGAATGGCGCTCCTTTAACAATGTGTGCTCCTTGATCAGTATGGCGCTCCTTTAACAATGTGTGCTCCTTGATCAGTACGGCGCTCCTTTAACAATGTGTGCTTCTCGATCAGTATGGCGCTCCTTTATCAATGTGCGCTGCTTGATCAGTATGGCGCTCCTTTAACAATGTGTGCTCCTTGATCAGTATGGCGCTCCTTTATCAATGTGTGCTCCTTGGTCAGAATGGCGCTCCTTTAACAATATGTGCTCCTTGGTCAGAATGGCGCTCCTTTAACAATGTGTGCTCCTTGATCAGTATGGCGCTCCTTTATCAATGTGTGCTCCTTGGTCAGAATGGCGCTCCTTTAACAATGTGTGCTCCTTGATCAGTATGGCGCTCCTTTATCAATGTGTGCTCCTTGGTCAGAATGGCGCTCCTTTAACAATGTGTGCTCCTTGGTCAGAATGGCGCTCCTTTAACAATGTGTGCTCCTTGATCAGTATGGCGCTCCTTTAACAATGTGTGATCCTTGATCAGTACGGCGCTCCTTTAACAATGTGTGCTTCTCGATCAGTATCGCGCTCCTTTATCAATGTGTGCTCCTTGATCAGTATGGTGCTCCTTTAACAATGTGTGCTCCTTGATCAGTATGGTGCTCCTTTAACAACGTGTGCTCCTTGATCAATATGGCGCTCCTTGATCAGTATGGTGCTCCTTTAACAATGTGTGCTCCTTGATCAGTATGGCGCTCCTTTAACAATGTGTGCTCCTTGGTCAGTATTGCTCGCTACTTTAACAATGTGTTCTCCTTGATCAATATGGCGCTCCTTGATCAGTATGGCGCTCCTTTAACAATGTGTGCTCCTTGATCAGAATGGCGCTCCGTTATCAATATGTGCTCCTTGATCAGTATGGCACTCCTTTAAGAATGTGTGCTCCTTGATCAGTATGGCGCTCCTTTAACAATGTGTGCTCCTTGATCAGTATGGTGCTCCTTTAACAATGTGTGCTCCTTGATCAGTATGGTGCTCCTTTAACAATGTGTGCTCCTTGATCAGTATGGCGCTCCTTTAACAATGTGTGCTCCTTGATCAGTATGGCTCTCCTTTAACAATGTGTGCTCCTTGATCAGTATGGCGCTCCTTTAACAATGTGTGCTCCTTGATCAGTATGGCGCTCCTTGATCAGTATGGCGCTCCGTTATCAATATGTGCTCCTTGATCAGTATGGCACTCCTTTAAGAATGTGTGCTCCTTGATCAGTATGGCGCTCCTTTAACAATGTGTGCTCCTTGATCAGTATGGTGCTCCTTTAACAATGTGTGCTCCTTGATCAGTATGGTGCTCCTTTAACAATGTGTGCTCCTTGATCAGTATGACGCTCCTTTAACAATGTGTACTCCTTGATCAGTATGGCGCTCCTTTAACAATGTGTGCTCCTTGATCAGTATGGCGCTCCTTTAACAATGTGTGCTCCCTGATCAGTATGGCGCTCCTTTAACAATATGTGCTCCTTGATCAGTATGACGCTCCTTTAACAATGTGTGCTCCTTGATCAGTATGGCGCTCCTTTAACAATGTGTGCTCCTTGATCAGTATGGCGCTCCTTTAACAATATGTGCTCCTCGATCAGTATGGCACTCCTTGATCAGTATGGTGCTCCTTTATCAATGTGTGCTCCTTGATCAGATTCGCGCTCCTTTATCAATGTGTGCTCCTTGATCAGTATGGCGCTCCATTAACAATATGTGCTCCTCGATCAGTATGGCGCTCCTTTAACAATGTGTGCTCCTTGATCAGTATGGTGTTCCTTTAACAACGTGTGCTCCTTGATCAATATGGCGCTCCTTGATCAGTAAGGCGCTCCTTTAACAATGTGTGCTCCTTGATCAGTATGGCGCTCCTTTAACAATGTGTGCTCCTTGGTCAGTATTGCTCGCTACTTTAACAATGTGTTCTCCTTGATCAATATGGCGCTCCTTGATCAGTATGGCGCTCCTTTAACAATGTGTGCTCCTTGATCAGTATGGCGCTCCTTTAACAATGTGTGCTCCTTGATCAGTATGGCGCTCCTTGATCAGAATGGCGCTCCGTTATCAATATGTGCTCCTTGATCAGTATGGCACTCCTTTAAGAATGTGTGCTCCTTGATCAGTATGGCGCTCCTTTAACAATGTGTGCTCCTTGATCAGTATGGTGCTTCTTTAACAATGTGTGCTCCTTGATCAGTATGGCGCTCCTTTAACAATGTGTGCTCCTTGATCAGTATGGTGCTCCTTTAACAATGTGTGCTCCTTGATCAGTATGACGCTCCTTTAACAATGTGTGCTCCTTGATCAGAATGGCGCTCCTTTAACAATATGTGCTCCTTGATCAGTATGACGCTCCTTTAACAATGTGTGCTCCTTGATCAGTATGGCGCTCCTTTAACAATGTGTGCTCCTTGATCAGTATGGCGCTGCTTTAACAATATGTGCTCCTCGATCAGTATGGCGCTCCTTGATCAGTATGGCGCTCCTTTATCAATGTGTGCTCCTTGATCAGAATGGCGCTCCTTTATCAATGTGTGCTCCTTGATCAGTATGGCGCTCCTTTAACAATGTGTGCTCCTTGATCAGAATGGCGCTCCTTTTACAATATGTGCTCCTCGATCAGTATGGCGCTCCTTTATCAATGTGTGCTCCTTGATCAGTATGGCGCTCCTTTAACAATGTGTGCTCCTTGATCAGTATGGTGCTCCTTTAACAACGTGTGCTCCTTGATCAGTATGGCGCTCCTTGATCAGTATGGCTCTCCTTTAACAATGTGTGCTCCTTGATCAGTATGGCGCTCCTTTAACAATGTGTGCTCCTTGGACAGTATTGCTCGCTACTTTAACAATGTGTTCTCCTTGATCAATATGGCGCTCCTTGATCAGTATGGCGCTCCTTTAACAATGTGTGCTCCTTGATCAGTATGGCGCTCCTTTAACAATGTGTGCTCCTTGATCAGTATGGCGCTCCTTGATCAGAATGGCGCTCCGTTATCAATATGTGCTCCTTGATCAGTATGGCACTCCTTTAAGAATGTGTGCTCCTTGATCAGTATGGCGCTCCTTTAACAATGTGTGCTCCTTGATCAGTATGGTGCTCCTTTAACAATGTGTGCTCCTTGATCAGTATGGCGCTCCTTTAACAATGTGTGCTCCTTGATCAGTATGGTGCTCCTTTAACAATGTGTGTTCCTTGATCAGTATGACGCTCCTTTAACAATGTGTGCTCCTTGATCAGTATGGCGCTCCTTTAACAATGTGTGCTCCTTGATCAGTATGGCGCTCCTTTAACAATGTGTGCTCCTTGATCAGTATGGCGCTCCTTTAACAATATGTGCTCCTTGATCAGTATGACGCTCCTTTAACAATGTGTGCTCCTTGATCAGTGTGGCACTCCTTGATCAAAATGGCGCTCTTTGGTCAGAATGGCGCTCTTTGATCAGTATGGCGCTCCTTTAACAATGTGTGCTCCTTGATCAGTATGGCGCTCTTTGATAAGCGTGGAGCTTTTTAGTCGTAATTGCGCTTCTCTCGGATCTATTTTCTGAAGAGTGATTAGAATTTGAGAAATTAGAAAGCATATTTTATCATGAGCATAGGTAATTCATAGGAATTCTACAATTTATTTCCGATTTGTTTTGTCCAAATTTGGTTCTGGCATGAAGCTACATTGATCAAGGATGTGATGCAACCTAGACGAGTGACATTCTCAATATCTGGCTTCAGGATGGTGGCTGTCTATGAAGAACAGCGACAGCTTTATACATCGGCTGCAGCCACTCAGTGCACTCACCCGCTTGTTCGACAGGAGGGAGAGGTTCGGTGAATTCAACGATAAGACACTCGGATTTCTTTTGGTAGGTTTATCTAAATAATTTGAATAAACCTGAGAGAAGGGGTAAGCTTCTCCTGATAACGTTTCATGTCCTAGCAATTGCTTTTGATTCATGTTGTGTTTCTAAAATCAATCTCAACATGCCTTCTGTAGTAACCTTTTTACATTTCACAGTATACAATAACATAAACACAATAACACAAGAACACGTATTGTTTATATATAACCGTCCAGTACCTCACCCGGCCACAAGGTGATACTCTCTTTTGCTTTAGTCATTACAACTGGAACATATTTTGAGATTTAGACGAATATATTCACTCATCATCAGGATATTTGTGTGAATAATTATAGTGAATTGAAGTTTGTGTCTATGTTTGGGTCGTCCTAATGACCAGATATGCATTCAAAGAAACGACCTTAAATTGGGACACAGCTAATGAAATTACGAATCTCCCAATCTCATTACAATCAGACATTTGCACCTATTTGCTACCTCTCTCCATCACGATCAGACAAACACTTCATTGTAGCTCACGTCAGGCGAACCTTGCCCTATCAAAATGAAAGATGAGTGCGCAAATCAGATGACAGCTTTTAAATGACGCAGCTGCCCTACATCTTGTATTTTGTCACCTATTTAGGTGTCACGGCTCGCGCAAAAAACAACAACAGGATGTTATAATATTTGGTTTTCTCCAGTTAGGACTTTCACGTTAACCTTCAACCTCGAGATACAGAAGACAGATAAAGTATGCTCTGTATGCATCGGTTGCTCTTTCCGATAATTTAGAAACCTTCACGTTAATGGGCCGTTTAGAAAGTTCAGAGTGAAAGATGAGAGTGGAACACACATAAACTGACATACGAGAAATTAGACGTGGCAAAAGTCATTTCCATTATCACAATAAAACAGGCCTTGTGTTCGTTTCTCATCTGATGATATAAGTTCTTGAGGCCACGTGGCCATCATAGGGAAAACTTTTCATATGATTTGGATCCAGATACCCATCTCTCAACGTGCTCGGGTGTTTCAGACGGGAGGCAAGTCTGATTGGTCAACTGAGATGGCACACGTTAGATAATGTTCTTGGAACCCGCTTTGAAATAATTAGAGTTACGAAATATCCACGTGATTTGACGCAAATATGCATATCGAGATACGTATCTTATCGTGACCAATGTATCGTGACAATTAAAAACAGTTCATTTTACATCGTTTCACTCCTAAAGTGAACAGTTTTTAATTGTTGCAAAAATAATACATATTTGCTTTTTACAAGGGTACACAATTGTACATACACATTTAGTTTGATTGTTGTTTTTATTCAATTGCGTCCCAGAGTTTACAATAACCATGCAATGGTAAAATGGGGTCTCTTTTTACGGCCTCAAATTAGTCAAATTGTATGTTTATTTTTGATTTTATTGGTCTTTAGACATGACACGTGGAAATTCCTATACTAAAATTTAGTCCAAGAAATAAATATATATCTTATTAAAAAATATATATCTCCAAAAAAATAATATCCAAATGGTCCCCAGAACAATACTTAATTTCAGGCCTAGATCTGAGGCAGTCTCGACTTGCCAAATCATTCTAAGCTTGACTGGATTCATTAGTTAATGTAGTCTCGATGGTCTGGGGCCTAGTGCCCCATTTCTGAGGTTGCCTTCATCCAAGACGCCACCAAACGTGAAGTAAAGACCAAAGGAGTGTGGATGACTCAATAAACAATAACTGAGGCGCTTTAGGCATTGTTATGAAAATGGCATTTCATAGTTTACTTTGAAACATTAACCGTGCTGATATCACCAGCTGCAGAGTGTGTACGTTTTTTCGCCTGTTTTTGTATTTGTAAAAGAAATATGTAAAGTTAGTCATTTATCAGGATATTAAGTTACAAAAACAATCCCAGTTGCAGGAACAGGTGCCCCTGCCTAGATTAACATTCCGCTCTGGCCTCAGTCTTTAGAAGAGTGCTACCTGTAAATCATATTCAACCTACGTCACGTTGTCCTGACAACCTAAAAAAAAACACAACTTGACTTGAGGAGTGTTCTCCTCAGATTGTCCGCCCGACTGTATATCCCGACAGAGGCTGCAGGAAAACAGCGGCGCACCGTAGGGCTGTATGTGTAGAAGTTGCTCTCATTATTATGGTAGTTCGCCTAGAAGGGTGCTTGTATTACGGTTCTTTCTGTGCTGCTTGTGTATCTTGGAAAATGCCCCTCTGACAAAGTTTAATTATGCTTACAAAGTTGTCTTTCACAGCACATGCCTTTCCTAAAAAGACAGCATGGCAGAAGTTAGGCACCATGGTTTGAAAAAAACCCAACATATTGACCGTTTTCAATCTTTCTGCCTATACCTACACATCGTACTGTGAACAATAATTTATTTATATCAAGCATATAGCATGCATAACCCTGTTGGTCAGGATACTTCCTCTGCCTAGAGCTGACAGAGCGTCTAAGTTTGATCCCTTGCTCTTTATCTTAATATAACGTTTCCAAACCTGAACAAACTGTCTTCACGTCAACACCATCGCGTTATCCGAGAGTTGTCTTTCTGATGCACTTAACTGTAAACACTGGTGCCTGACCTTCGTGTAAACCAACAGAGCATCGGCGTGTTGCTGACCAGAGAACGATCTACATGTATACACAGGGATGTAGATCACAACCGGATATTCTCCTTAAACATTTCTGTCTTATTCATCTGATTAAACGTATTTTGCTGGAACTATAGTGAACAATATTGCCAGCTTCAGTATCTTCATATCTCTCAATAACTATTCCAGTCTACTATATAATGTACTGGGCGGATGTATGGTTTTAAGAAATTTTACATTTATGGCTTTTATTGCAAATATATTTTTAAATTCCTAATAAAGTGGGCCTGGTGCAATCAGGAAAGCATTAAACCAACACTAATGCGAAGAATCTGACAAGATGGTTCTTGATGCTCCATAATAAATGCTTCGAACTACCGTAGATAGTGGTAGTTCCCAGTCTAGGTACATAGTGTGGTCTGATCGAACCGGAATATATCATACTAAACTGACAGTCAAAGAAACTTTACCACTTTCAAAATGTACGTGCAAAAAATAAAAACACAAGTTTAAACTAAAACAATTTAACACATATCGTCCAAACACAACAATGATCTAAGCGATACACGAAAGAGTGAAAACACGTGCAGCTTGAGCAGCCGAAACTACCCGTGCAGTAAGTGTATATAAAATATTATTAATTAATTAAATTAAATAAAAAATATTAATAATACGGACGGCATGTCACACACTGATAAAGAAACCCCCACAGAATTGCCACGACAGTCACCCGAACAACACGAGCGGGCGCTGGGTATGATACAGATGGGAGCCACCCATGCCCACATTGCTGGATCTTTTGGTTGCTCCCGTGTTGCTGTAACTAATATGATGCAAAGTTACAGACAGACCGGGCAGACATCAGACAGGCCAAGAACAGACAGACCAGGGTAACTTTGCCCAATGAAAACCGTTACTTGCGTACTTTGCATCTCTGGAATCCATTCCTGACAGTGACGTCATCAGCGACGAATGCCTTAGGTCATATGGTTAGTCGATTTACCTTGGCCAGGCGACTCGGGGCTCAAGGAACTAGGGCTTACAAACCTTACAGTGGGCAGTTATTGACAGCGCAACATCGTCGTCAGAAATTGAGCCCGGACTCTACGTCGTTGGCGGCGACGTTACTGGCAGAGGGTCGTCTTCACTGATGAAAGGCGGTGCTGTCTGTTTAGAACTGATGGAAGACAGGGTGTTTATAGTCCAGTAATTAAAAGGTCCAGGTTCAACAAAATTGACGGAAAAGGTTTATTGCTGGATTTTGGTGCCTTGGCACCTATACATTAAAAGAAAAAATAGTTTACCAAAATCGGACATGGGGAACCATCCGAAAATAGGTCAAATCCAAGATGGCCGCCAACAAAAGTAATAATAGTCATAAACGTGGAATCAATAACAAAAAAACCATTTATGATGAGTCTATCTATATTAGCTTGCCAGGATAAATGCAAAGGAATGTATATTTAACAATTTTGAAATTCACATAGAAATTTAAAATAATGCTTCAAAATGACGAAAAAGTACATACATTTGTTAATATCAGTAATTCTTGCAGAACATGAACCGATTTATTATAATGTTGACGTTTAACATATAAAATCATGCAGTTTATTGTCTTCACATAAATATTCAAGTTAGAAACAAGTATAATTGAAAAAAACCCAAGTATTCCCTTCTTCAAAATGGCGGCCGAGAATACAATGTTTTAAAGATAGACCTCAAGAACATAAAGGTATGTATAAGCTATTTTTCTTTTATAGCTAAAATGAAAACTTGTATAATATATAGTTGATTGGCTCTAGAGAGGAATAACTGATGACAATATGAACAAATATAAATATAAAATTTGAAACAGAGCCTTAAAATTAACATCAACATTTGTTTAAAGGAAAATCAAGGGAGATAATCCAAACTCCGGGAAGCAGTTATTTTTCTCAAATGGTATTAGCTTCTCAGAAACTTTATTAAAAGTTAATTCAGAAGATATAATCAAGACATTTAGCACAAAAATCATTTGCTATAATCGGAAAAGCAACATTTGTATCTGGACACATGTCAACCATATTTCTATCAACTGTTACTATTCGCAGGTGACTATTCTCAACTGAAGGTGTCCTATGTAGATCACATATGGCGACTTGTTTGCTATGTATGGAACCAGTTAACCTGGACAAACCACAGGATTATGTGAAGTTGACAGCAAAATGCTGCTGTAAATTCGATGCACCAGACATCATATACAGCTGTAGCCTGTTGGTACGCAGACAGTGTCGAAGTATGCATATAAATCCAAAGGCAATCAAAGTAGCTGAAAACCTTTTGATCATATGTTTAAGCCTTAAATTTTAAAACTCACTGTTTTCTATGTGGTACTTGTACAAACATCCATATAGAAGTGTACTTCAGCCGTGCGATGGCTCTTCAGTTACTCAACATATGTCTGCAACATACTGTGTCAACAGGCAAGTTGATTGGGCCAAGATGGTACAGTCAAGTATTGTGCCCATATACGATCTACCAGCTGAAGAAGCTATCCATGACCATGCTTGTGATAAGAATTTTCGGAGAGGGACAAGTATACCTGCAGCTAATATTGAACATGGGGAGGTTCCACCAAAGAAACGGAGACTTGGTCGACTGAAGTGTATGTCCTAGATGACAGCATTTGAGATTGCCATTTATTACTTGGAAGAGAATGATGATGAAACGATTCCTTTGGACAATTTGCATCACATTATGAAGTCAATGAGTGCACTGAGTGATGATCAACTACACACTACATCTCAGCTGAAAAGGGAATTCATGAATCATTATGGGAACAAGGTATTCATAACTAATCAGGCAACAACCTAACATTGCATCTCTTACGGCATATGAAAATGTTGCAAAGGTTGACAAATCCGACATGGACAGTTTGATTAAAGTTGGAGGAGGATACATTCATACGCAGGTAGAGAGCATGTCGAAACATGTTGATGTGTATCTCGACAATGAGCAGATGGCATTGATTGACACCAATCTTGATTACCTCCCACATGCATTACGCATCCTCCTTCAAGCTATCATCAAGAGCTGAGCTGCGTCATTGGGTCAGGCAATAATGCATTCGAAATGTCCCCATCATTTCTGCCTCCTCGACAAGTTTGACAAAGTATCACACTATAACACATATATGGTCATCGTAATTTAGTGGATATGATAAGCCAACTCGGTTTCAGCTCCTCGTAAATCTAGAAAATTCTCGTTGACCACTCATGGTGTTCACCTAATCAGAGACATTGCAGATACATTCGTGCAATACGAGGCTGGTTATATAGATCATGCCAGCAAAAGGTTTGATGGGACTGGCTCAATCCATGCCATGGGCGAGATGGTGAGACGGAGGGTACCAAGAGTTAAGGTGGACTTGGATGATGTTAAAAAAATCAACAGTGTCAAACCATTCTCACAAAGAAATCCAAAGGCAGTGCTGGCGAACATTATCTATTCACCAATTGGTGACTTCTGTCTTGATGAAAAGAATAGCAAACTAGATAACTAGATACTTCTGTGTGTGTTGACCACTGTGTTCCGGTTGCATGCAGTTGCTCCATTCTGACATTCCATACCCCAGGAAGAGCTCTGAGATTATCAACGTGACACCAAGTGACGAATCCTGTGTCAGATCAACGCTGGAGTATATTTCCAAACATGCCAGATGACATGGATTCACACCGGTTATTACAATCGACCAGCAACTTTGGTGAAATGCATACATGATCATCGAATCACGGCCAGCTGAGAGCCCCTTGCATCAAATAGCCCTGGTCTTAGGGGGGATTCCATACTTAGATGAGTTTTGTGGGTACAGTTGGGAATCTGATGGCTGGATCTGGGTTAATGGAGATCATCACTCAAGTATATTCAGAGGGTAGTACAGATCAGATGTTGTCCGGCAAATCAGTGTCACAAGCTGTGCGGGCTCATTTCTTGAGGAACCACTTCTGCAATGCTCTTATCGTGTTTGATGGTTATTGTGGTGTTTTTTTACCAAGGATGAGACCCATCAGAGAAGAACTGCAAGTGAGATTGGAGTGGATGTGGATTTGACACCAGACTTGATTCTGAAAATGAAGAAAAAGCCCTTTTGGCAAATGGTAGAAACAAACAGAAATTCATCACTCTGTTGGGGTCAAAAAACGAAAAAAGGTGGGTTTTCAGATTAAACACTCATCCGGAGATGCTGACTATGACATTTCAATGTATGCCTGTACATTGGCTCAAACACAGCCTGTGGTAGTGGTAGGGAATGACACCGACCTTCTCATCCTGTTGCAATATCACTTCAGACCCGATACCATGAGGCCATCTTTCTTCAGACAAGTACAAAGATCACTGACATCTTCATCCTACAGATGATCCTTGATCCTAATCTCAGCCATTCTTTGCTCTTTGTACATGCATTGTCAGGGACCGACACAACATCGAGGCCATATGGCATAGGGATGGTCTCAGGAATATTAAAAGGTTTTCATGGTGACAGGTGGAAACCATGCAGAAATCGAGCAAGCTGGTAGTCAGGCACTTGCAATCCTCTGCGGCTGTATGCCTGGCTTGGATTTGAATTCTGAACGTGTGACAAAATTCACTGAGAAGGTATGTATCAAGCTCAAATTACCTACCCCTTCGACACCTTCCACCGACATCAGATGCTGCCAGATTGCCCAGCTAACTAGTCTGACTCCAAGTGCAGACCTGGCTAGACAACAATATGGATGCGACAGAATGGGGCTGGACGTTTCACAAGAGCAACAAGGGCACTATATTGAAACCAATCACAAGGCACCAAGCTGTCACTCCTAAATTTCTGTTGAAAATAATCAGATACAATTGCACTGGAAAGTGTGATGAAAACACATGCTCATGCACAAAAAAATTGTCTACAATGTACCTCAGCATGTGGACAATGCAAAGGGATGACATTTTCAAATGGACCAAGTCATGACTTTTCTGACATTACAGAATAATCGTCTCTTCATGTCGAGAATATGAGTGTGAATATAAAGACTGTCTTGAACTTTAGACATTTAAATTGATAGTAAGTTTGACTTGTAAACTGTAGTATTGCAGGGTTATTCCCTCTTTATAAGCCCGTGTTAAGTATTTTGTAGTCCGATATGGAACAATTGCATTTTTTTCACATTTCGGGCAGCCGTAATTTATTTCTGTGTAAGATTTCACTTTAAAATTGTTAAATATATATTCCCCTGTCTTAATCCTATGAAGTTGATTATAAATAGTCATCATCCATGTTTAGATTTTGATTGATTCTTTTTTTTTTACTTTTTCGATTTTCGTTTGTATTGATGGCGGCCATCTTGGATTTGACCTATTTTGGGTGTTTCCCCAAGTCAAATTTTGGTAAACTATTTTTTTTTTTAAAGTAGACCTATCAAGGCAGTGAAATGTGTTAAAAAACTTTTTCCGTCAATTTTGTTGAACCTTCATGAAAAATAAACCTTTAATTACCGGACTATTACCACCGATGGGGAAAACGAACGGCTGCATGTTGCGTTCAGGAGGTCTTGCCTTATTGTGGAGGGGAGGAATTTGTGGACAGGAGAGAACACCACTGGTCATCGTTAACATGGGTGACATTGTTCTACCGTTTGTACAATAGCTGCCATGTGGTGTTCGTTATCAGCATGACAGCTCGAATTGTAGATAACTTCCTTGCAGCCAACAACGTCAACGTGTTGCACGTTCCCCCATAAATCACCTTGGGGATGGCATGGATCGTCGTGTTAGACAGCGACATCCTCTAGCCAAGGGACAAGAACTTATCCAGGCCATGCAAGAAGAATGACGACGTATCCCACGTGACGTCATCAGTCGACTGACCTTCTTCTGTGCGCCGGAGGGGCTTTGGGTGTTCTGTAGCAGTGGTGGTCATACACGCTATTAATGTGACGTGCCATTGAACTTGAGCGATTTTAAATGTGTGTGCCCTTTGTCCATTACATTGAAAGCTTGGCCGTTAGTTTTTAAACTGGGCTTAATTCCATACTGAAAATGGTTCCCGGCTCTCTGTGTGCGTCGTCAACTTACATTGTGATATGTAGAGAAGGAGACCAGCTTACTGGGCCCTGTGCTTATATCACGGGGCCATTGCTCTGCCTCGTCGATCGTCAGTATTCGACATCAATGTTCGCACACGTGATCCTTCGTCATCTAGAAGGATCACATTTTGTGCCATGTACCAAAGAGGGTGTGCTTCAGATTATGTAATTAGTTTGCAAACATATAGTTCCATGCAAACATATAGCATCATTGATCAGAACAGTAATGACTTTTCCCCAAAGACGTAGATGTGCTCTTGATTGTATGTTGATGTTGCAGTATGCTGACAACGAGGAGGACGTGCTGAGGTACCAGCTTGAGAAGAGGATGGGCGTGGAGCTCCAGGATCTCCCTGCCACAAAACTTGCCAGGTGGGTTCCTCTGACATGATGATAGTGTATATATCCTTTACAGAATGACAGTAGGCATATCCTCAAAAGTCATCAGTTGTATATACGCCTGCGTTGAAGATATCACTATCCGTGTTGCAGGGAGAAGGTGGAGAAGCGGCAGCTGCAGCTGAAGGCGGAACGGGAGCACAGGCGTGTAGTCAGGGCTGTAGATGCCTTTCTCAAGGTCAGCCACTAGCTATTGGTCAATTGGGTTCTCCCTTACAACTTCCACCATTAATATACTGAACCGCCAAAAATACGTCACCCCAAGTATCATTGCATGAAAAGTTGTCATTGAAATATCTGGGGATTTTTGTCAAAGTTTCTAAAATGTAACATTACCTTGTCCGGAAAAATGTAATTTGATGATAAAAAACAAACAAAGCAGATGACAATAAAACCGATCGCCCAAACGCATTACGGCAACGGCCATAGTTACCTGATTCACGTGAGTTCCGTGTTAATTGAAATGCACATGCGTTCCCCCATTTCTTGCACTATAAAAATCCACCCAGACCGGATAACATTCATTCGTTATTGAATTGCTACCACATGCCAAGATTGACAAGAAATCAGCGACACTAAGCCCTTGGACGATTGCAAGCTGGCCAAACCGCCCGTCAAGTAGCCAATGCATTTCAAGTCCACGTAAGGACCATATACAGGCTCCAGCAAAGGTACCAGACCACCAACACTACAGATGACCGACCACGTATTGGAAGACCAAGGGTCACCACCCGACGTCAGGATCGTCAGATTGTGCGACAGCATCTTCAAGATTGCTTTGTTACTGCTGCGGAAACTGCTCGACAGACCATGGGGACACACCAGCGACACATTAGTGCGGACACGTGCGTCGACGATTGACGAGCAGACACCTCCACTGTCACAGGCCACACCGAGGACCCATTCTGACACCACGTCATCGCCGGGGCCGTCTTCAATGGGCAACACAGCACCAGTATTGGCGCCACCAGCAGTGGAGAAGAGTCTGTATCTCAACAGCAGATGGCAGAGAGAGAGAGAGAGAGAGAGAGAGAGAGAAAGAGAAAGAGGGAGAGAGAGTGTGTGTGTCTGGCGACGCCGTGGGGAACGTTATTCGGATGCTTATGTTGTTGAAAGAGACTCGTGGGGTGGTCCGAGCATCATGGTATCGGGAAGAATGGGTCTTGCACAGAGGGTCGGCCATGTGGTCTTCCAGAACATCGGCAATTGTGTCACAGCAGCTCGGTACATTGATCAAGTCTTGAGACCACACGCCAACCTCATTTGGCACGTTGCCGCAACCATGAGTTTCAGCATGATAACGCCCGTGCCCACACTGCGGGATCAACACGAGACTTCGTCCAGCAGAATGGCGTCAGAACCATGCAGTGGCCTGCCCTCAGTCCCGGTTTAAATCCCATGGAGCACATGTGGGACGAGATTCAAAGACGGCTGAATGACGTCCGACCAAGGCCGACAACTGCAGCTGAACTGCGTCAGGCGTTCCTCAGAGTGTGGGTTCAAGTGCCTATGGCCTTCATTAACCGCCTGATCCATTCCATGTATCGACGTTGCACGGCAGTCATCAATGCACATGGCGGACACACGAGATACTGACTTGTGATGCCATTTTCTCAGAGACTAGTGTTGTGTTTCCCTTTTAAGAACATTTGATACTTTAGTTTCAACCTTGATGATCAGTTTTGTCAAGTTTCATCGATTTAATATGTCTCAAAGTATGTTTACAGTGTTTGGACAAATAAGGTTCCTCATTTTTCTATCCATGGTGACGTTTCTTTTGCGGTTCATTATATATCAACTTTGAGCTTAGACAAATACGTGACAAGACAATTCGCTTAATATCAAATAAGTCAAATGTCTCATGAACAGGTTTATGGATGTATTTTCACGGATTGACACCCACTACAATAGTAGACACACCACCAATCGTACCTCATAACAGATCAGTCAATACCAGGGTAGGAATGTTCACAAAGTGATGACTGAAGGCATCCAGCTGCAAGCAGCTTGAAATCAATCCGGAAATAACCACAATCCCTTTCAAGTCAGTCAAATTTTCGATGGTACGTCACAGCAATCATGATTAGGGAATTTAAACGTCGATCACGTTACCTATGCTAATTGGTCTAAAATTTGGTTGGGTACGGAACGTACATTGTAACTTCGACAAATGATGTTGTATTCGGACCCAAATCACTTTCTTAAGCTGAAAGGCCGTAGTCGCTGACCAATTAGATCAGATAACCATCAGTGGGACAAGGGCGACAATACGTCGAACCAAGCCAGACTGCCAGATGAGTAAATATATGTTTTAAACTAAGAAACATAATTCGTTCCAGAAAATACAGGCAAAAACAATTTTCCACTGGTATCCCGTGTTGTCTAAATACGCTTATGAATTATTGTTTATTTTTTTCACTATCTTAATAAAATACATTTTGCAGGTACTTAAACGTCATAATGCTGACTGCAATGCCACAATCAGCAGAGACGAACTGCAGGCGGCGCTTCGTGACGTAAGTATATCATGTCTATCCATTTATCATTGTGGCTGTAGTGCTCCTATTTCGTATATTCATAAAAAATATTATTGCAAGCAAGGATAGAAGACATCTATTGTATGTGTATATACAAAAAATAGCCATACTAGCTTGGTGCCGACGTAAAAGATTGATATTTTGTTTCTTCTATGATAGTTATATAATCACCCTTTGTTATTTCTGTAATAATTATATATTGAGGCATGCGACCGAGTGGTTGAAGGATCGTCACTCAGTACTGGATCTCAATAGAGAGGTGTGATGCAACGTATCTGTGTGTGCATGTCTTCTGCAGAACAGATTAAAGATCCATTGCACATTTATCCTGGGCAACAATATGATACTGTACGTAGAGGCAGGCCTATACAGATATACAGAGAGAATATACACATGTATGTTGGCTACACTCTAGGAGGCCACCTTCACCAGGACGCGCCGTAGACGGATCTTCGGAGACGTGGACAACGACACCATCCTGCAATATCTGGACAGGGACGGGAACGGAGAGGTAAGGTGGATGTCATCTCGTCTACAAAAACAAAAATAGAAATATGTTATTCACAGTTACAAATCACCTGTAGGTAGCTGATCCTTTTCCTGTAACATATCACAAATTACGAGCTGATGCATTGTGACATTCACACATACTAAGGTGATCCGTTGTTTGTGACATTCACATATACTGAGCTACTCCTTTGTTTGTGACATATCGCATATAACTAGGTGACCCTTTGTTTGTGACGGATCACATATAACGAGCTGATCCTTTGTCTGTGACATATCACATATAACTAGGTGATCCTTTGTTTGTGATATATCACATTTAACGAGCTGATCCTTTGTTTGAGACATTCACATATACTGAGATAATCCTTTGTTTGGGACATATCGCTAATATCTAGGTGACCTTTTGTTTTTGACGGATCACATATAACGAGCTGATCCTTTGTTTGTGACACAAGCAAATAACTAGGTGACCCTCTGTTTGTGACGGATCACAATATAACGAGCTAATACTCTGTTTGTGACATATCGGAAATAACTAGGTGACCCTTTGTTTGTGACAGATCACATATAACGAGCTGATCCTTTGTTTGTGACATATCACATATAACGAGCTGATCCTTTGTTTGTGACATATCGGAAATAACTTGGTGACCCTTTGTTTGTGACAGATCCCATATAACGAGCTGATCCTTTGTTTGTGACATATCACATATAACGAGCTGATCCTTTTTTGTGACATATAGGAAATAACTAGGTGACCCTTTGTTTGTTGCGGATCACATATAACGAGCTGATCCTTTGTTTGTGACATATCGGAAATAACTAGGTGACCCTTTGTTTGTGACAGATCCCATATAACGAGCTGATCCTTTGTTTGTGACATATCACATATAACGAGCTGATCCTTTTTTGTGACATATAGGAAATAACTAGGTGACCCTTTGTTTGTTGCGGATCACATATAACGAGCTGATCCTTTGTTTGTGACATATCGGAAATAACTAGGTGACCCTTTGTTTGTGACAGATCACATATAACGAGCTGAGCCTTTGTTTGTGACATATAGGAAATAACTAGGTGACGCTTTGTTTGTGACAGATCACATATAACGAGCTGATGCGGTTTATGGAAGAAACAGGGATCACACTGCAAACTCGTTTCCTTGGTTACGATAGGCAGGAAGTAAACAGCCTGTTCAGCTTCTTCTCGACGCTACAGACCACACTGCTGACCAATGTCAAGAGGATATATGTTGAGGTAAACCGGCTCTTGCGTTTGGAACATCCTCATCTTGATAGTATATAAAATCCTGAACTGTGCAGGTTATCTTTCAAAACACCTTTACATTGTTTAAGCACCGTACAAGGGGACGGACAAGCAGTGTTTCATTTTCTTTGTCGTTCCCAGGAAAGGGACATAGAGAGGACTGTTGGCATCAACACTGGTCACGTGGGCACTACAGACTTTGTCCTGGAGGAGGGGGACAGGGAGTTTATTGTGGAGGTGAGTACATTACACTAACCTGAGAAATGGTTTCATAATCACAAACATAATGGTTAAAAGAAGCCAAATGATGTGTGATCTTATTCCACAATTATTCAACTGATTCCTTGTGTGACAGCGGGGCAGACGGTCAGTCACAGCCTTCCTCAAATACTATGTCGCCATCAACGACCCTCCAATGAAGCACCTCGCCACCATCGAGGAAGGCGTGATGCTACTTTCCCAACCCCCAATACAACCAACATCTGTAGCTTCAGACCTCCCGTACATAGACGGGACAATCTCCGCGGCGGATGATCCCCTGTCTGTGGCCGATATATCCCTCGAGGAGAAGCTCCCAAGTGAGTGATCTTCTCTTGTTAGTTCAGGATTTCATGGAGAACATTTACACTCGACAGTATACTATTGACATGATCTCCTCTTGTTGGTACAGGGTTTAATGAAGAACATTTACACTCGTCAGTATACTATTGACATGATCTCCTCTTGTTGGTACATGGTTTCATGAAGGAACATTTACACTCGTCAGTATACTATTGACATGATCTCCTCTTGTTGGTACAGGGTTTTATGGGGAACATTTACACTCGTCAGTATACTATTGACATGATCTCCTCTTGTTGGTACATGGTTTCATGAAGAACATTTACACTCGTCAGTATACTATTGACATGATCTTCTCTTGTAGGTACAGGGTTTCATAGGGAACATTTACACTCGTCAGTATACTATTGACATGATCTCCTCTTGTTGGTACATGGTTTTATGGAGAACATTTACACTCGTCAGTATACTATTGACATGATCTTCTCTTGTTAGTCCAGGGTTTCATGGGGAACATTGACACTTGTCAGTATACTATTGACATGATCTCCTCTTGTTGGTACAGGGTTTCATGGGGAACATTTACATTCGTCAGTATACTATTGACATGATCTCCTCTTGTTAGTCCAGGATTTCATGGAGAACATTTACACTCGTCAGTATACTATTGACATGATCTCCTCTTGTTGGTACAGGGTTTCATGGGGAACATATACACTCGTCAGTATACTATTGACATGATCTCCTCTTGTTGGTACGTGGTTTCATGAAGAACACTTGCATTTGTTAGTGTAAGATTATCATGATCTTCACCGATTTTTCATGATTTCAAGGGGAACATTACATTCGTCAGCATAGGGTTAACATGATCTCCTCTGAGTATGGAATACTGTAAGGGACATTCTCCCGATCTCGAAATATATGCAAAAGTGCTAGAACGCTAGATATGTCAGAAATCTCGCTTTCTCGCGATCTCGCATTCTCGTGTTTTTGTTACCAAGCACTTTTTGTCAAAAGTCGACAACGAGAGATTGCGACATTTGGACATGATGTAAAATCTCAATTGTCAAATGAGGCCACAAAAATACGAAATCGCGAGTACGCGTGATTTTATTTTATCGCGTTTACGCGTTCTCGCGTTTTATGGGCTGTCCGCACTAATATCGCGTAATATCATTTGGTCAAGGCGCATGCACACGTTAGTATTCCTGTCGTCGTTCTTATTTCATGCTCTTCATTCAGCTAGTAGCATTTAGCAAAATTATGACTTGAAGTTCCTAGAAATAGAAATATTGCTAATATGTGTGTTCCTATTTTCTTTACTTGATGAATTACTCCACACCCGTAGCCCTACTGATTACGCATGATGCATGTGAATCGCACCCTTCGACAGTAACTGTACACGGATGCCTAAAACAGTACGATAAGAAACAAAATATAATGTGAACAATAAAATGCCTCCCGTCTCCCATGATTTAAAAAAAATCAATCAAACACTTACCATTAATTTATTGCGGCCTTAACATGCACATGCACATATACCATCATAGGTACGCCCAAGGGACGCAACTCTGCATAGTAAATTGCGACGCCACAGACGACTGAGCCACTCATGCTCCCGGCTCTCATGACTATATAGGCAATTGGCAGAGAAACGCGAGATCGGGTGATCGCGACATTCGTCAAGTGTCGCAATCTCACGTTCACGCGTTCTCACGTTTAAAAAAATTATTAACATTAACTGTATTGCAATTGACATAAAAGCACGAGAACGTGAGACCGCGAGATCGCTCCATTGGTCAAGTGTCGCAATAAACTGGTTCCATTATTGGTACTCGACGCGAGCTTAGCGCGATTTAGATAGACAGGAACCCAGTCTAGTGTCGCAATCTCGCGTTCTCGCGTTTTTAAAAATAGTTACATATAACTGTAATGGCAATTTTCACAAGAGCACGAAAACGTGAGAACGCGAGATTGCGACAATGGTCTACTGTCGCGATTTTGTGTTCTTGCGTTGTCGCGTTTTTATGCGCAAATTTGCACAAAGGCATGAGAACGCGAGATCGCGACATTGGTCAAGTGTCTCGATCTTGCGTTATCACGCTTTTTGCCTATACAGTTATGTGTAACTATAAACGAAAACGCGACAACACGAGATCGCGACACTTGACCAATGTTACGATTTTGAGTTCACTATCATTTGACATTCATGTACAGAATTTCTTCTGTAAAATTATATTGAGAATGTTGAGAGTTTTCATGTGAAGTACATAGGAAACTGTAACAACGAGAGAGGACTTGTTTACATATGACTATTACATTTTCAAGCTCAAGTCATAAGTTTGCTAAATTCTGCTTGGAGAATGAAGAGCATGAAAGAAGCAGGACCACAGGACTACTTATGAGCGCATGCGCCTTTGACGTTATGATATTACTCATGCGCACGGATAGAGTCTTTAATGCGAGAACGTAAGATCGCGAGAAAATTAAATGTCACATTCTCGCGCGTTCTTGTGGCCTCATTCGACAAGTCGAAGTTGCGAGATTACGAGATTTTTCATCATGTCCAAATGACGTATGCTCGCGTTTCGACTTTTGGCAAAAAGTGCTATGTATCAAAAGTTTCAGAAAGCGGGATTTGGGCCAAATGTCGCACTTTGGGGATATTTAGCTCGTTTCCAAAGGTCGAGATCGCGAGAATTCGAGATCGCGCGAATGTCCCTCACAGTATTCTATATCTGAGTGGTTTAGGGTTTCTTCGTGAACACGTACATTTGCTCGTATAATAAATTGTTATGGTCATACGGTCGTAACAGGACAGAAGCCATAATGTGTTTCAGTTGTGAACCACGCCCACGGCACATGAACTACAGCCCCGCAAGTTTCCAACATGTTCCTCCAGACTGGGGATAGAACTTCTGACCAGTGTAGCCTGCCAGGGGACGCATTAACGCCCACACTCATCACAAGCAGTGATTGGATTACAATGCATGTCAGATTTTGTATTTAGCCTGACAGTCGTTTGCGTCATTAGGAAACAACTGCAGCTGGTTCGGAATGGGTTAAGCGAGGAATATGTGCATGAAAAAGAGTTTCTAAGTGAAGATAATTGAAACAAAGGCGTAAGTTAGAGAGCAAAAATTACCCACAGACAAATGCGTTGTTGAGTCCTGATTGTTCATGGCGAGTGATTATCGATTGGTAGGTTTCGATATTGTTGCATCACGATCTCTACTATTGTCATATTACTGTCATGTTGTAAGTTTTTTTTATAGAAATCATCGTTATATTATGATGTGTTCATATGTGTTGTACCTGCTTGTACAATGTAACATGTGTTTTGCAGCATTGTACAGATATGTCCAGTATCGCCCACAAGTAACATGTGTACAGTGCAATAACCCTGAACTCGACGTCAAACCCCATTTTACATTGCCTGACATTAGTAACATGTACTTCTGTACCGTGTATATGAGGGAGTTTCACATTTCCCCCATTGTGTCTGTATTGACTTCGAGGAGCGAGATGTCCGTTCGGAAACAATTCATATCCGAGTACAAGTGGTTCAGGAAATCGTTCATTGCCGGTACGAGAGGGGCTCACATCCCGCCATAAAACATGTGTACATTAGCTTGGTGAAATAAGGGACTTTGTACACAAGACCGGTTTATCTGGCCGTAGCCAAGTATGCAAGTTCCACAAGTTATTTTCCTGAAGGCGGGAAAGTATAACGGTTAGTTTAATTATGACTGAAGGAGAGCGCCATTTTGGTTTCTCTAAAAGGTTTGGAGTTTTTAAAATGAAATAAGAGTAATTTAATCCGAACATGTTTTAATCAATCGCCTGCCTCATTCTGTGACTCAGTCATGTTTCGTAATGTAGATAATCCATTCAATTTGTTCATTTTGTTTTTAAGAGGTAAAATGTTTAGGGGATATATATCTATCTTTGCTTAAGTTAACCTGTTTATATTTTGTAAGAATAAACTATTATACGCATTGAGCGATTATCTCCTTTAGCTATAGGCGTAGTATAGAGCTTTATCATGCACTGACCTTGCAATTCTGAACACCGTATCTTTTCAAGCTGTATCACTGAGAGTGAGTGATTATCTCCCTTACCCGAATAGATCTTTTACGCACTACCTTTGCAATGTATCGTATGCTATTCAGGCACCCAGCGAGAAAGGTTTCAGTGAGGAATTCATGTCAAGCATGTAACGCGCACTCAATCTTTCTCCTTTCACACTGTTATTGCAACTTATTGTTCAAAACGATTAAATACCAGGCTTCTATAGAATGACTTTGTTCAATAAACAACACATGTAAAACAACGGGTTTGATATGAGAAATTTGTAATTAGTTGTCTTCATTATCACATGTTGGGTGCTTGCTGTGCACTGTTGAGCACAGAATTGTTTCAAGTAGTTCACTGTATGTAATGGATGATTTATACCGTTTCATGCGGCGGTTTACGGTTCTGCATGGTTTATTTGACAGTTTTTTAAACTTCCGACAGAGATTTTACAACCGTATATGTGTTTTGTTTCTGGATACGTATGGAACCAACAGGCAAGACTCTAGTTTGCAATTGTTTTCTTAAAAAATAATACGGTTGCATGATATATTCACGATGTTTGGGTTGAACAAAGTAACATTCTTCTAAACATACTTCAATTCTAAACCGGCAGTAATCACAACACAACCCAAGTTAACCAAACGGAACCGTACACAAGAGTAATGAGTGGGTTGACTAGTATTGAATAGCTTGACGCAGGAGGAAAGCCCGAAGTGATGCAAGTCTTAGACGTTCACCAATTGGTGAAACCCACGAGCACGGTTATTTATGCTGACAACATAATCGGGGCGAACCTGGATTCGAACACTATGTCATAGGTTTCTGGCGTGCCCAAAGGACACAACTCTGCATAGCGAATACAGCGCCTTAGGCGACTGGGCCAACCGTGCCCCCGTACACAACTGTAACAAACTATCATACAACAAAGATGTTTCAGATGAGATAAGTATTGCGTAACATTCCATGAAGAAACAGTGGCAGTATTACACTATCACAAACTACAAAATATATGAACAATAAGTGCAAAACACACGAGTACATTCAAAATACAAAGGAGGTACATTGTAACAATTCTATTTCAAAACAAGTGTATTATAATGGTATGGAAACACTATGAGTATTGAGCAAAGCTATGGTAATGTTGACCATACAAGGAATTTGTTTATACTTGTAGATATGATAAACTGATCTTGGAAATTGTTTCTGTATAACCTTTGGTAAAAATTATCAAGAAATGTTCCTCTTACAGAGTGTACCAAATTCTTTATCATAATTGAGGATTATTTGTGATTCCCTTTCTCGGTTGTATTTTATATAAGACATTGCATAATGTTGACATCACTTGTTTCACAGAGACGTTGTTTCAATGGGGTTGGTGTTTCTTTTTAATATCTACTAGTTTCATTTTTTTACCTTTGAGCTTTGTTTTTACAATAAAATATAATTCTCAATATTTATAGATGACTTGACCAACCTGTAATTTCTTAACTTGCTGTTGGATAAATTGGAATTCCTTAATGAATGCGTGAACACATATTTACATTTCGACTGAAGTTTATTTACAGTGGATTCATTACATATTTTGTGTTTACTATTTCAAAAGTTTGTTTTATTTAACCCGGCCAAGATTTTGACCAGAAAGATTGATATTTGCTGCCGAAGCATATTTTAGAATGACATTTCTTGTGTTATCTGTATAGGATTTGTAATCAATTATTTTATATGTTACTGGTACTAATAGTGGGTATATACCAAGTTCTGCCTGACAGGCCTAGTTATGTGTTTGCGTTCCTTGGTTTTTCTTGTGCTGACGATTTAAATGCACTGATTCTTTAATGGGATTTCAAAGATAACTACATTAATAACAACCAATTTGTACTTTACATCAATCCTTTCTTCCCATTGCCTGCACTTCCTTCCTCTACATATGACATTATATGGCGGGGAACAATTGATGCTCTGCAGCAATCTCAACTTGTGTATAGTTACATTCTGTTACAGTTGGATCCTTAACATTCACCGTCATGATGGTGTCACGCTATTGTTCATGCAGTTGATTCTGAGCCTGGAATTCACTGCCAAGAATGAACGTGTATTTAAACAAGTAAAACTGACGCAACAGTTTTACAGGAAATTATAGAAATATTTATTATCAACCATACCATGGTTTATGTAGAATCAACATTATCTCATGATTTCTCAATAACAAATATTGAAAGTTACGTTCGTGGAAAATGCATAGGAATAATCTCGTGCTATTTGGCCCTGTAGTACATCAATAGAACAGAACCAGCAACAGCTCGTTGTCTGGGCTCGTACATTCTTCGGGTCGATAGATCTACTGCCGTGTTATTCTTGTATATACGCCGGAGAGGGTTTGTCGTATGTTTTGGAATGGTCTATCTGTTCCTTATATTACTCGCCTTGTGTGCACACCATTGCACGCTGGTGGCTTAAATTCTTTCTGGCTCGCATGTCTAACTTTTTTCAGGTATACACCAGGACTATTCTTGTAGCGCCACCTGGTGGCACGATACTGCTGTAGTATATTTACCATTCATTTAGCCACTTGGTGGTATGTAACTGCTGTGGTATATTCACCATTCATGTAGCGCCACTTGGTGGTATGTTACTGCTGTAGTATATTTACCATTCATGTAGCGCCACTTGGTGGCGTGTTACTGCTGTAGTATATTTACCATTCATGTAGCGCCACTTGCTGGTATGTTACTGCTGTAGTATATTTACCATTCATGTAGCTCCACCTGGTGGTACGTTACTGCTGTGGCATATTCACCATTCATGTAGCGCCACTTGGTGGTCCCATTTTAATTCTTGAAACCCAAAAGTCCAGAAACTCTACGGTCTTTTCCCAGTCTCGGTCAAAGGTATTTACAAAATTAAACATGCTATTTTCATGGGAACATACCAAGGAAAAAAAATGAACAAAAAATTGTTCAAAAACTCAATATTTACACTATGTCGCCAATGGGCCTGCCCATGACACAAAATTTAACTCATTTTAACTTAATTCAACTATTTTATAGCGATATTGAAATATTTCGCCCATGGGCGAGAAAAAGGTTTGGCCAATGGGCAGGCCCACGGGCGAGAATATGTTCCTTTACTTAAAACACGCAATTGGGATACGGTGACATGCATCAACCAGGTCAGCGAACCTGACCACCCGATCCCGGTAGTCGCCTCTTACGACAAGCGCTGTCGCCCTTTTACGCCAAGAATGGGTTGAAGATCTGTTCTACCCCGGATCTTCACGGGTCCATTGACGCAGGGATTTGCGTAAAGTCATTCTGACAGCATACAATGCCTTCTCAATGTCTCCTCAAAGTAATATAGTACGGTACTTAGAGTACATGTGAGATTATACACAGGTTAGGGAGATGTTTAATCTATATAACGTGTTATTATTCTACCTAACAATGTATTTAATGAAACGAATGCAAAACAAACTCAACGGTTGAAAGGTTTAATTGAAAAATCTACCCCTGGTCTTGCCTAATAAAACAACTGCAACCCGACACAGATCAAACGCAACTTACAAACACAATCATAATCTGGTTAATCTCTATCACTCAACGAGTTGGAGTAGCTTACTCTGCCCAGAGTATGGCAGTATTGGGCAGCTCAGTAATTAGGAGGTAAGACCAGGCAGGTACACTGGTCACACTTGACTGGTCTGTCAGATGATTAGGCCGTCTGTCAATTGGGAGTGTTTATCATCAGTGGACCAACTGCATCCAGGTACTGAAGGGGTGTCTTTTCACGGCGATGAAGCTGTTCCTTCTCTCTGTAGACAACCTTCCTGGGTGGTGGTGCTGCTCCAAATTGAATCTGCGCTAGTTTCGCTCTCTCCGAAATTTCTACCTTCTGGATCAGTTCGATAAATCTGAAGATATTTGGATGCTTGTGCTGGAGGGACTTGCCGATTCTGGAGTGGAAACCTTCTAAGTTGTTGTTTGTACGGGGCCCTTGTGTCGCATGGTATATCCACAGTCGAGGTGAACGTCTAGGAGAACTTGTGGGGCACCTTTCTGGGACAAGACATACTCAACTTTCGTAGGTCCGGCTATAGCTTAATTGGACGAGGTTGAAGCTCATGTTCAAATATATTTATATGTTATACCATACACAAGAGAAGGAAGTATTAGTGATTGAGAACATTTGGTATATTCTTACACAAATCCCACAACTTGTTTAAAGGTAATGTTTGAATAAGATTTGTGATGTACCGGAGCAAATTGAAGAAAGGAGGAGTTTTTAAAGACATTGTTGTAGTTGTCCACTACAGCTCATTGTCTCAACATATTGACAATCCCTCATAGCAGGGGAAGTGGACCAGTCCATTCATTAATTAGGTGTGACCAGCAGAAAGTATGTACATATATACAAGCGCCCGGAAAACCTATTTTACATTTGTACAGGTTTATTTACATATATACAATCCGCTCTGCTGGTACCTATAATAGAATAAACGCTGAAGAAAAGAAGTGATTAGCATTCCAGGTTAAGAGGACACGTCAGGCTGAAAAGGAAAGAAAAAGGAGTGGCAAGCTATGTGGGTGGGTGGGTGGGAAAGCGATTAGATACAGTGACACACGTGTGTACTTGGGGAAGGGCTGTTCGCGAATGACGGACTAACAAAGGGCGGGATGATGCTTGCGCGGGATTATTCCCCGGGCACGGTGCCGGGTGGTCGCCCGGGGTGATTGAGTTACGAGGGGTGATTGGGTTACAGACGTGATTAGCCCATGGTTTGGATACGCGCGATAAAGTCATTTAGTAGTTAGTACTAAATGTAATTATCCCGCGATATGCCAAGGAGAGGCACGGGCCACCGAGCCGTGGATGCCCGTGCCTATAATAAAAACAGAAGATGAGAGTGGGTTAAATGGCCGAGGGTGTGCAGGTACTAGTGGGCTACTTAGCTGCTAATTGTGTATACCAAAATGCTACCGTTGCTATGGCCACGCGCGTGGCAAACGGCGATTGCAGCTAGCGCTGCTGTCCTGAGACTGCTACCGCTGTCCGGCCCCCACGGTAGCATATTTAAACGCTACCATTGCTTGGCAACTCCCACGCTGCCAAAAGCAGCTCCACGCTGCTGGCCTAAGTCAGACTACCGCTGCCCGGCCCCAGGTAGCCGGCCAAAGCAGATCCCACTGCCCGGCCCCATTAGCAAAACCATTGTGCGGCTCCCGCCGCGGACCCAACTGTCAGCTACCGCTTGACAAGACGACTTCCGCCGCAGGGCCCATATATGTGGCAATTGTTTGCCCCAACGTATGTTATTTTACGATTCCCCGGCTGAAAAGTCGGGAAAGACAAGGTTCCCACTGAGAAGCAGGTAACCCCGGAAAGGTTCCCGCTTTCCCGAAAGGTTCCCGTTAAGCACGAGTATTAATTTGGAAGCAAGTTAATTTGTTACTAGCCGTGTAGCCCACAAGAACCCCGCCACAAAGCACCAGAGTGCTACCCCACACCCACGGCCACGCGATGCGCGGAGATAGCATTGTTGCCCGGCTTGCCTATGTACTGAAAGGAAACACTAACCTGTGGGGATAATATCCTTACTGGCGCAAAACAAGCGCCAGGGCATGCAAAACATTGTCCGTAAACACACACAGTCCTTTGTCACTGAGGTGGACGCCCTCCCAGGCGTACCATGTCTTGTCTGATGCCAGGATCTGGGGATGTGGCACCATGGTACCGCCAAGCTCTTTGACTCGGTTGGCCAGTCGGCGGTTGATATTCTTCCGCATCCCCTCGATCTTTAGTGGGTCCCTGGCATCGTGCCAGTAGCGCCTGGGCAGCATTGAGGATACGATGATCTTGGTGTCAGGAAGCTGGAGTTGTATCCGAAGGATTGATGCCACCATGTCCAGGTAGAGTTGGCTGCCCTTGACCGAGCACAGGTCGTTGGAGCCCAGGTGAATGATGAGGGCTCTGGGGCTGCGCCGTGTCGCCTTGACCTGTGCATCCAGAATGGTGTCCAGCTCCTTCCACCTCATCCCCCTCGTGCCAGCCATAGCATCCTCGGTTGGTTCGGACTGGTGCCCTTCAGGAGCAAGTACTGCCGTGCCCTGGCCATGTAGCTGGATCCCACCATCCAAACTGTAAACAATAAGAAGTGTAGTAAATACCATGAAAGACTATTTGAATTAATTGTGCAACATTGAATTTGTTGGTAAGCGTATGTAAGCATTGTAGCAATCTGATTTCCACCTGCCGTATTGTTGTATGCTGCTGGTGGTTGCCCGAGAAGCTTAAATTCTGGATGGCGCAACCTGTTTTTGAGGGTCCAGTTTGGACCAGTTCGCTAACCCTAAAGAAACCGAAGAAGGCTGTGCAGTAGACTGCCTTGAACAGCCTGGCTTCATATGCTGATGAGCATACGTGAGGCAGATTGTTGGTTACTACCTGCAGCAGATCTGCAGTGATCGGTTTTCTGGTGTCTGGTCGGCCCGCTGATTTGTGTAAGCCGGTTAAAATCTTGCCTACCAGGAAATGGTTTGTACAGTCGGTGAGCCCGTGGAATTTGTGGTGTGAAGACAGCGCTGCAATGTAAGTCTTGACTGTGTTAGGGGAGTGGTGAGTGACTGAGAGATAAGCTATAAAGTTTACGACCTGATCCAGCGGGACTGGCCACACCTCTTGTAGCTGGTGTGCGGACCGGAACTGGTGCAAGGCATTGATGCCTGTTTGGTAAGTGGCCCATGTATTAGTAGACAGAGATTGTTGTAGGAGTCTGCCGGCTTCCTGCCTCAGATCAGCCATATGTTGCACGGGATAGGTGTGGGGTTCTGGTCCGCGGCTGGTGCTGCCTCTCGGAAGCGTTTGAGCTGGAACCTCGAGAGAGCATCGGCAATAGTGTTAGCAGTGGATCATACATACTTTGCCTTAAACATAATATTATATCTGAGGCACTGCAGGATTCGTGGGTTGGACCCCATTCCCTCGAAAGCAGGTCCTAGAGCTATGGGAATGTTTGCCACACTTACCGCATTTGTGAGTGTACTTACAGTTGACCCTGCTACAGCCAAATTTATTGAAATCCCAGCATACCTGACTGGCGATGTCCCCCTCTACGCGTGTCATTGCGCCCCGTCCGCCTGATTCTGGTTGTAGTACCGGCTGTGTTACCATGTACTTCAGCCACAACTCCCCGTCGATGTTGTCCCAGCGTCGTGAGGGGTCCCTTGACATTCTGTGTCGGAATTGTTGGTCGTAGGTTGACCAGGCATCCCCCCCCGAATCGAAGTGCCGCCGTTCTTATGGTTTCCATGTAGGACAACAGCCCCTGGGTTGTGCGGACCTCGGAGTGCCTACTAACATATATACACATGAAAATGTGGAAAGCTGAAGTCCAGCTTGCCAGGGACAGGCGCTTTGGTTGCTGCTTTATTGGTTTAAAAATTACCTTACCTGAGGAGTCGTACGCCATGGTAATCGTACCGTCCTCGTGACCTCCCTCGGTGTTTGGTAGGATTGTGCCGAGGTCGACATACTCGCCACGCCAGATTTTTTCCCTCACCTGTTGTTTGACGTGCGCGTCTATTCCATCCGCACGGAAGGAAAGGGAATCCCCGTATCCTGCGATGTGATTGGCTGGCCAAGCCGCGTCACCGTCGGCCTCGTTGTGAGCATCGGGGATTCTCCCTATGTTGGGCGAAATGGCGGGAGAACTAAAACCAAGCCTTACCTGTTGGTTTGCGCTAACCGGGCCGGGCGCTGAATGTTCCAGCAACTGGAGTATTTTTTCCAGTTGCTCATTTACCTGGGTAGCCGAGTTGGCAGCCTGTGCGGCATTTACAAGCTGCGCCGATTGTACGTTAATTCTGTTGCCCCCTTCGATATTTCCGTAATTGGCAGACTCACCATCAGCTGTTGCCTCCTGTACAATGTGTACTCCCGGGGTTTGTCTTCTGGTTGCCCTGGCCTGCTTGGCTCCCCTCACAAGCTTGTGGTTGACGGCTGCTTTTCTCTTGGGAGGCATCACGAAAGGTCGAGGTGGTGAGTTGGTATTCCACAAGCGTAAAATTGTCCCGAGGTCGAAGTTCGGGAGTAGAACGGAATAAATGCGATACGGCGAGTGCTGAAATAGATGGTATTCAAAGCGTAATCGGCGACACGGTCGCGATTGTGTAAATGCGATACGGCGAGTGTTGGAATAGATGGTATTCAAAGCGTAATCGGCGAAACGGTCGCGACTGGGTACAAAGGAAACGTACAAGCGATTAGATACAGTGATACACGTGTGTACTTGGGAAGGGCTGTTCGCGAATGACGGACTAACAAAGGGCGGGATGATGCTTGCGCGGGATTATTCCCCGGGCACGGTGCCGAGTGGTGGCCCGGGGTGATTGAGTTACGAGGGGTGATTGGGTTACAGACGTGATTAGCCCATGGTTTGGATACGCGCGATAAAGTCATTAAGTAGTTAGTACTAAATGTAAATATGGTGACTGTTTTTCGCTATTCATATTCTAAATTCATTCATAATACCACAACATTTTAGTACTCCTTGAAACTTTACAATCACTTCAATATGTACAATAGACTAAACGAGAACAAATGATATATTGCAGATTATAAAGTCATTGTCTCTTTTACCAGCCGCTAACGTTTGTATCGTTTGCATTGTATAAAGAAATATTTTGTCTGTCCTTTTGCAGATTTAGCCCCAGAATGTGCTCATTCGAATAAGCAACGAAAATAATTGCTTATCATGAGTATATGATACAGTTAAAAGTTACTTGTAGACTGTAGATGTATTCTCTTTAAAGTCGTATACGACCTTCGCGAGCGAGTTGAATGATCCAGGTTAATTGGAACGAAGTCTAGAAAGGGTTATCAAGTTTTGTATTTGGTAATGTGTAGGTTTGTTAAATATGATTTTTTAAATTCCTTTTATTCAAAATGTAAAAAAAATAATTATGCGCTGAAAAATAGAGCTGACTTGATGGGAGATATGGCGTTAGCCACCTGAGATTGTCTGGTGGACACGGTTTAACCTTACTGTGCCCTCACCCTGGTTGTTGTTGTCGTTGTTATAAGGGATTGAGAGCTACAGCTCATTGCATTTTTGGTTACAGTGTGTCTCAATAAAGTGGACATGTGCAGGTGAACTCTGTTCAATTAGTATATGAAATACCCAAAAATGTGAACTCCGGACAATAATAACCTGAGAGTAAATCCACGTGCGTCTGCCTTTCCCCTCGCTCACCTTCGAAATCCTTGATCATGACAGAGTTCTGAAATTCAGTGACAATGTTGCTGAACAGTTGAATCTGGTGGACGCATTGTGCAGAACCTGTTTGACACTATTGTTTCCAGGACCACTAACACTGGGAAGAGTGGCACTGTGAGCTGAAAATGTTTCGTCATAACCGCCCCAACATCTACAAGTTTGTTAGCTTGTTGACATCATTAAAAAGAAATTAACAGTCCCATGCTGAGACCTTGTCTGCCAACAAATAGAAGAAAATATCGCAACCTCGACTCAAGTGTGCTCAGTCAAACGTTGAACTTACGACCGGCAGAAAACAACTCCAGTTGAGTATGCCGATGCTGTATCTCAACCGTGTTGGCCTAAAAAGTTAAACATGCTCATTAAACCCATAATCGTATAATTATTTTTAATAGAAACCGTATCTTAGTTTGTTCTTGCACTGTTTTCATATCGTGTATTTCATCTGTATATGTGTAATGTGTATATGTATAAATGACTACACTTTTACCGCATATTCTGCAACAGACAATAATTAATCACCTTATTATTATCTCTCCATTTACCATGGCTGACTGCACTAATACCCTTTTAACAGTGGACACCGATTTCAGTATACATGTAGGCTTTCTTTCAAAAGGAATATGCAGGAAATTATATGTAACAATTAACTGTGTACTTATTACATGTTTGAATGTTATCAGTTTTGAGTTCTGAGATACAGTGATGTAAGCATCTTCTACAATTAACAATACATGTATATAATAAAATACAGAACTCTCTGCCGGAATTTTTCGTGGAAATCATTCGATCAAGTATAAATGACTGCGTGACAAGACAAATCAACTATTTATACCCGATAAAAGAAACTGCCTTATTTTAGGAACAGTGCTATATCAGGACATTTGGAATTTCTAACAAGCAGATACATTAGAGACAGTGACTAGACTACATGTACGCAATCCGTATCAATCAAAGGTGTAAACTAACTGAAAATCATATCTGTCGGAGACCTACCAAATTTACCAAGTTTTATTATTACTATATTTATTACAATGCAAATACTTTAGTGATACATTTTTCAGAGGAGAGGGCATACACACAAGTATATTGCTTCCGTGTGTGAATGCAGGTAATACTTGGCATCTCAGTTCTCAGTTTTATACCGGTTGTATATCTGAATTTGTATATGGAACCATGCGTACAGCATGACAATTACTTGCTAGTCGTCAGTCTACAACACACATAACACGATCAAACAATTTTGGGCACCGCTTTTGCAAGTTATGTGTTACAATAATGTTTTATTAAAATCTATTTCAATTTGTTTTCACTATTTTCCCTATTTCATTCCATGCATGTTTATGTTGCTACATCTTATTGCTCATGTTCCCAAGTATTATAAAACACTTTAATGACTCTCCTTCCTAATCTAACGTTAAAACATTTCAGGTCATTACCATCATCTAATACACAAGAGATGATACCAAGACATATTTAATTCGGTTTTATGGTCTATGCGGTCTTACAATTGATTTCATTAGTCTTTAAATCTTATGTCTAGTACATATTTTCCCAAACAGGGCTGTTAGCTGATATAAGGAAGGTAACATCCAGTTGAATTCCCAGTTGACGTATTTACTTCTTTTTTTTATCAAATATGAGGACTGTATACGACATACGTTAGTCTCTTAAAATAATTAATATTTTGAATAAGCCGTTGATATGCAAGTTGTGACAGGCCTAGGGATGATGGTATGGTAGCTGTAGCAGACAGATTGACAGTCGTTGTTACGTGCGTCACTAGCTAATTAGTACGGCATTGACCTTGTTAATTGTTACTATACTTTGAGGATTTCTGTGGCCAGTGGCGGACGTAATTCAAACTCCTTCCACACTGACACCGCATCAAATATATTTGTGTACCGATTACATAACTCTTACGGACAGGGTTGGGTGGTAGTTCACCGGACGACACTGTGTATATTGGGCGGCTCCTTTGATATCTCCTCCAAACATACTTTTATTGAATGACCCATTAAACGATGATTCACATCTCGTTGAATATATCAAGGCACTAATTCATCTTTCATAAACCTTTTTTTTGTCTCTGTGCTTAATATATCCACATATCAACGAAAATATGTAATACATGTATCCACAAAAAAATATACATATACAGGCTAGGTATTTGCCCACAGCAACACCTGCATAACTGTTTATTCATGCGTGGTGTGGTAGATCGTAATTGACCGAGAGCAGGTATTGTAGAATCACCTGTAAATAATGCCGACACTGTAATTAGATACAACGTACTCATGAGAATATGAGATATATTATAAGAAGGCTGTTTTTTTTTTCTGAACTGTTACCATTTTCATACCAAAAGTGACAATGCATTTAAAAGTTGCTTTAGTGTCATAATATTCACTCAAGTTTTCCTCAATCGCCTGTAAACATCGCACCGCATATAATGAAATAATTATTTCGAGATTTCGTTAGAATGTGAGATATTCAGCAAGACATTATGCAATGAAAGACGAATCGGGTTTTTCCCCCAATTAAAACACGCGCACGTGTACCTGTATATTGCATATCTAGTGTCACCCAATTTCCCAGTGTGATGTATCAACGAGACATGAAATGGGAAATGAAAAAGAAACAAACTAAACTTTAATTCGTTGGAAAATAACGCCAATGAATTGGTGTGCACGCGCATGAATTTGTATGATAAACTGTCAAAACGTTTTGAGAGATAAGGCCGGGTTCATTAAAGATCGTTGCACTATGTAAAAAAGGTGAAATTGTAAAACTTCTGCAACGGAAACATCCAACCAGAGACCATATAATCTATTACATGGTCTCTGATCCAACCAAAGGCCCTTTTTAAATAGTAATGTAATGATATAATACAAAGTGTGTTTCACATGATACAATATACTTTCTAAACAATTAGTTAATTCTTTAAAGGGACTGACGAAAACATGGGCGAAAATTTTAATAACGCCAAAAATTAGTTGAATTAAGTTAAAATGAATTGAATCATGTGTCATGCTTATAATCCCTTAATGTATTTTCGAAACAAAAACTGTTGAGCAAAGGAAAATATGCTCGCCCATGTGCCAAACCTTTTTCTCGCCCATGGGCGAAATATTTCAATATCGCTAAAAAATCGATGAATTAAGTTAAAATGAGTTAAATTTTGTGCCATGATACTTGAAAGATATAATATTTATGTATTTGCGAAACAAAAACATGTGTTTTAAGTAAAGGAACATATTCTCGCCCATGGGCCTGCCAATGGGCAAAACCTTTTTCTCGCCCATTGGCGAAATATTTCAGTATCGCTATAAAATAGTTGAATTAAGTTAAAATGAGTTAAATTTTGTGTCATGATACTTGAAATAAATACATTTATGTATTTGCGAAACAAGAACATGAGTTTTAAGTAAAGGAACACATTCTCGCCCATGGGCCAAACCTTTTTCTCGCCCATGGGCGTAATATTTCAAAATCGCTATAAAATAGTTGAATTAAGTTAATATGAGTTAAATTTTGTATCATGATACTTGAGAGAAATAAATTTATGTATTTGCGAAACAAACACATGAGTTTTAAGTAAAGGAACATATTCTCGCCCATGGGCGACATAGTGTAAATATAGAGTTTTTGAACAATTTTTTTCTCCATTTTTTCTTCCTTGGTATGAAAATAGCATGTTTAATTTTGTAAATACCTTTGACCGAGACTGGGAAAAGACCGTAGAG